GTGCCAAGTCAATATGTCTACTGACCAGCCAGCGATGACAGGAAGAGAGCATCTTCATCACGAAAGTGAGGTATGTCACTATAAGGGGAGGAACGGAAGTGATGAGGTGCTTGATCCAATGGAAGACTTCATTCCAATCGATTCGTATGGAAGCAATTGATTCGTTGCTACTAATTCGGAGCAAGCAACAAGCAAGCATCGATTCGGAGCAATCGATTTGTGTATGGAAGCAAGCAATCGATTCATTGCTGCAATTCATATGGAAGCAAGGAAGCAATCGATTTGTTGCTGCGATTTGTTGCTGTGTTATTTGTGGTGTTGCGTGTTTCGTGTTATATTGCTATCCTGCATAAAAGAGCAATGTTAGATAGCTGTTAAGAAATAGTAAGCAGTAACCCTATTAACACAGTTAGCAACACCCCCAGTACCTATAGTATTGGGCCTGAGGTGCTTGTAGGAATCAGTAGTAATGAGTCGGTGTGGAGGTGTTCATTTCCAGTAGTAAGCAGTACTCTTAGTACTGTCGACTCCTACAATTCAGGTTTTTTGTTGTACCTTATTTTTCCAGTAGTTAGCACTCTTACGAGGACTTGGAGTGAACTCTTGTACTTCAAAATTTCACTAAGTTTTTTGGTATTTTTGGTCCAGTACTAGTAATATTACTAGTAAAATTACGGAAAGTTAGTAGTAATATTACTAGTAGTAAAATTACAGAAAGTTAGTAGTAATAATACTAGTAAAATTACAGAAAGTTAGTAGTAATAATACTAGTAAAATTACGGGAACTTAGTAGTATCTAAATGATGCCATTAGAGAAGTCCATCATTGAACTGCAACCACCAGCAGTAGTGGTAGGAATGCAACCAAAAGTTTGAGACAACTGTGAAAGGTTTGACATCTGTGACATCATATTAGTACTAGTTGGTTGTTGAAGTAGTTCATTACTATCAACCCTAGCCATCTGTGTGATAACAACACTTGACTTGGAGCGCAAAATGTATTGCTCAACTGCTTCAACTTGAAACAGTACATTTCTGTTCACATCACAGGGTTTTCCTTCTGCTTTCAGCAATGTGCATTCAATTAGAACTCTTACAATGTCTGCAGATAAAAGGCGTTGGTGTATGACAATCCCTCTTGTTCCACTCCCAATGTCATGAATTACATCTGAAGAATGTCTGTCTATAGGAAATGGAGAAATAGCATATGCAGAAGTGATGCACCGCATCTGCTTCACAAAGTCTACCCTCTGGCAGAACTCCTCCTTTTTCCTGGTAAGCATTGATCCGCCCCATGTATTGATTCTGGGGCAACGGATTCCAATGTTGTGGCCAGCTCCTCTGCAGAAACTACATGCTTTGGTTTTATTGGTTGTGCCTGTCACAGGTGGCAATGCTGATCTAGTACTACTAACCCGTTTCCTCTTTCTCATTTCACGTGAACTCTTGTATCTACCCATTGATCTGCCTGATGATGGGGCACTGATGATACCCTGCACTGGGGCAGTTGTATCATTTGCTGCTGGTCCTGACGGAAGATCTCCAACCCATGATTCAATATCTATATTCTGATGTTGTTGAGCCCTCGTCATAAATTTTTCCAACCCTGCTATGCATGAGACTTGGAGCTTTCTGTTCCCATCAAGGAGCCTCCACAGAGTGTTAAATTTTGACTGGGCTAGAGCATACAGCTGCTGAGAAGAGAGTTCTGTGTCATTCAAATCAGCAACATCTGCACATGACATATCCTCATCACTCAACTCGGTATCACCCCCACCATCAAACCCAGTATCCTCAGGTTCCATATCTTCAGATATGCATGTTCCCAGAACTGGCAGATCAGCTGGTGCAATTAGCAGAGTGGAGTAGGAAGGATTCACCTTCTTATACTTATCATCCTGCAACCAACGAGAACCAAATTTGTTAACAAGAAATTCACCATCCACTCTGAGTTCATGCTCACATTGAAAGTCCATGTCATGAGACCGCCAGCATTTGCACCTTCTGCCCTCCACCCAAGAAACAGCTTTGTGTGACCTTTCATCAGCACCAGCAGGAAAACAATACACAATCCCATCCTCCACTTTGTGCTGAAGATATTTGGTTGCTTTCTGGATGGCTTGATGCATTTGGTAGGCATAACGGCTAAGTGTCTTCTTTGCCTCACAATCAATAAACTTGAGATCCCCAACATGTTGAGATTTGTAACAGGAACTTGTCACAAGGAGCTCATTTGCTCTCTGGCACCTCTGGTTGTTGTGCTCTATGTGACGGGCAAAAAGCTTCTTCACATTCTCAAGTAAAGACAATGTACTTCCTGTTCCAAGGAACGTCTTCACACTTGCATGGTTCTGTTCTGCAGGAGCAGATCCTCTAAGGTTCAAATTGCCTCGGAACTGCTTCAGATACCACATGGCATATGTCTCAGGAGAGGAATAAATTTTCTGAAGATACTCAAAATGTGTATTGTTCCTCTTGACAATTGCAATAGCCTGTTGGTAGCATTCAGTCCAACAGTCTTCAGTTTTGGCGCCAAGCATTGTCCTCATAATAGGTTGAAGTTTTTGAACCCATAACTGTTCACCAAAGAAGTCTGGAAACACAGTCTGGAATAAATGATGGTGGTCAATCCTCAACTTACAAGAGTCTTGGATTGAGAGCATTTGCAAAAGATCATTGGACACAAGCTGATCTGCAAAAAAAAACCTTGTTGATGACAGACTGTACATTGGTTCAAATTTTGGCAGCTGTGACAAACCCCAGGCATACATTTCATTTGATTCAACACAACATAGGCACTCAGCAACAACCCTAACCTGCATTTCAGAATCCTTAACAGTGGGACCAAAATAGTTCTTCCATCCAATGTTGTTAGTGGCAGTCTTCCTCATGTCCAAGAACATTGAGGATGAATACCTGACCAGATCTCTTCTCATTTCAGCAGTGCTCCAAATGATTGCTTCTGGCTGTCCAGTACTGTTCTTCTTCATGGAGTAACAGAACTTTGACTTTGTTTCTTTCAGCTCATCAAAGAAATCAATGACAGCCCAAATGTCCCCTCTATTCATCACATTCAAAAGGAGTTTCTCAACTTCCTTCCTATTTATTGATGAATCTGTGCCAATAGCTTCTTCCGAACTTCCACTCAGCAGTTGGGCTGCCTCTTCCTGTGTAACCTCCTTATTGCCATAAACTGCTAGATATTTGACTGCTTTCTGACGGAAATTGCCCACTTGCTTTGCGGTTAATGATACATGGGGAGGCATATAACTTGCAATGAAGGGCCTTAATTCACTTGCAGACATGGTGGGATTCACTTGGATGAGGGAGAGAATATCTTGCATTGATTCCAAATTGACAACTGGTGATCCTGACCTGCACACAGCAACCCTGTAGCAGATAGTGTTCAATGGACATGTGTGATGCAAATTCACAGAGGTAATCTTGATATTGAGTAGAATCCTGGGTTTGGTAGTAGTGCGGATGCCTGGGAGGGAATACTTTATTGCAAAGGGACAGTTGTAGACGGGTAGTTCCCTCAGTTTCCGGCGCCTTGTTGGATCTTCATGTACCCTTCTTTTTCTGGTGTGTGGCCTGTAGTGGCACCGGATTGAATTGTTAGTAGTAGATGCAATCTTCACTGACCACTTGGAACAAAGGATAGTCATGATCTGATGGAATTGATAGGGAGATGCAAACTTCCGGTCAGGAACACAGAATTTCTCCATGGCCTCCTTGAACTTGGACAAGTCTCTTAGATTGTTGTTTTCTGGATCAATGTCTGTGCTGGTGGGGAAGAGAGACTTGACCTCATTAACCAGCCCTTCTGTGACCCAATCACAGGCTTTGTAGTGAGTCTCCAATTTTTGTATTTCCTTCTTCCGGGCTGCTTCATCTGGAATCAATAGAGCCAGTTCAAAGCCCTCCACCATGGTGTCATAGAATAGTGGTAGCTCTATTACTTTATCCATTGTTCTTGTCTGAGTAGTTGCTATTGCTGATGGTTTGGTGTTCCTATTTCTGTTTCTCGTTAGTAGTAGTCGGTTCCGGTTATCGTTATCTGTTATTTCTCGTTCCGGAGGGGTAAAAAATGGCATTCAATTTCCGAAAAAAATCATGCGCAAGTAATGGTAGTGCACTGTTTTCACTGAGTGAATTTGTACTGAGTGAATACGTGAAGTTTCCGGAAAAATCCTGGCGCGGACCTTGGCCATTCTCCGCGCCAGAATTTTTTCAGAAGTTGAATGACAATTTTTAACCGTTTTATTTCACTGACGGTTAAATTTACCTGTAAAAATGAGCTAAAATTTTCTACTAGCAAATACACGGGAATTGCCAAGTGTACTTGACTTTATTGCGCTTGACATTAGGAGTCCTCTACTGTAGACTGTAGATGACGATCATTAATATTTCCGTGCGAGGTACGTACTGTACGACAAAATATTTTCTAGTCGTGCTTCGATCAATGATGTCGCAGTCGCACGGTACTCGTACCGTAGAGTGCGATAGCTTGTCTATCAGTTTACAGAAATTACTCCTGAATATTTAACTGGAATTGGGATTAGTTGTCGTCTTCAATGCCGTATTTATGGCTTTAATCCTAACAACTGTCAGTAAGCAAGAAACAATCCACAGCGTTGCGGCTTTCTGACTTCAAAAGAATCTCGGATACCGCATCGGCACACTGCTGTTTCAACTAATGATCCTTCTGATACCGTGGTTTACATAACAGACGCACCGTACAGAAATGGTTCTGGAGAAAAATGCAAAATCGTCCAGGATTTCGTGCGTGACGTTTGCCGACCCAGAACTCCCGACCGCGGTTCCCGCTCATCTCTCCTCACCGTAAAAACCACACCTCGTCTGATTCGGTGGCGAACCGAGGAAGGGCCACTTTCGTTCGATGTAGTGAGTGCAGTATGTATTGTACTGTACCGGTAGGGTGATTCTGTCTTCGATACATCGCACTAATGTATCTTACCAGTAGATCGTAGAGTAAAGCACAATCGGTTCCGGTACGAGTACCAGTACTTGAAGCTCCTCTGAAAGCACACACACAATCCCCTTGGCTGGTCTTCTTCATAGACAAGAAGAAAACAAACTGGCAACAAAGAAACAATATTGTAAGTTGTTGCAATAGCTACACCATCACATAGCACACAGCACCAAGCGAGAAAACACAATACTATTGTGCAACTATCCCCGGCTACTAGGCCAGAACAAATCGTGCGATCAAAACTAGTTGGAAAGGTGAGAAAGTGGTGATACCTATCTGGTGGAATTGGTTTTATCTGAACCATTCTTCTTTCGCTGCTGCTTTGAACCACCCGGCGCTCCCTGACATAGATCGAGATTGTCTCTTTCGCTTGCTTGGCTTTGAAACCGTTCTTGTATGGCTTCTCATAACAGATTCGAAGTWCTTTGGAGCAGAGATTCACATAACAGCAGCAAAACCCAACCAAGCGCTCTCCACTATGGATCTCAACGACGACAAAGGCAGAAGCAGCGGCCTACCGCAAACGACAACGAAGAAACCGCCTCCCCAACGGCAGAGTCGTAACAGTAACTACCGCTCCGACCAAGAGGAAGAAAAGAAAAGCTCCGGCAACGAAGACATCGAGGTTGCCATCAACGACGGCCGCTCCATCCTTTCTTCCAGCACCACCGCCACCACGAAAACAGCTGCAGCCGCAGCCCTTTTGGATCAACAGATCGAGGGGCAGCGCCAGAAGGGAGTCAACAACTTTGATGACAATGCCGGCGGCAAGTCTCGCCCCGATGCCGATGCCGACCGTGCATTCAAACAGAAAGCCAAGGCCGCAAGGATGAGTGCGGTTTCCTCKGGTGCCTACCGAAAGCCCCCGCCACCTGGTTCCGTTGCTGCTCCTGCTTCTWCTGCAGCGGTTGCTACGGCTCGGGACATGTCGGACGCCATGGCCAAGTCCCGAGGCCGTCGGAATGCAGGCGCCAAGAACCAACAAAAGCGACCCGTGCCCGCCCATCTCCGGGACTCTTCCACCGGTGGACACCGCAACGGCGGCAACACCGGCAGCAAGAACCAGACCAACACCACCAAACTGGAACGATTGGAAGAAGAAGTCGCGGCCAAGGCRAGGGGCAAGGCACCCACTTCCGCTGGCGCGAGAGCGTCGGTCACCAARCGGAACCCTCCAGGCCTCTCCCCGAACAGATCGCAATCCGAAGCCTCGTCGCCCGGAAGCAGCTTCACGGCCGTCAAACGCATGAACCGAATGGAGGCAGACATTGCCGCCAAGGAACAGTCCCGTGCCAGTCGGGGTTCGGGGGATCGGCCCGCCGGCAAGCGCCTGGATCGGCTGGAAGCCGACGTGGCCGCCAAGGAACGGGCCAAGGCCAGCCGTGTCACCGGGAAGAAGGCGAGTGCGATTGCCAGGAAGCTTGCCAAGAACCAGCAGCAACGCGGTGCTCCGGCAACGGTWCCGGGGGCGGTTTCTTCCACCGAAGGTGGCGGCCGAGCCGCTCTCCTCGCCAAGAAGAAGAGGAACGTTGCTGCTTCCGTTGCTGCCACGGGAACTTCCGAAGGTGCTGCTTCGTCCAAGCTCAAGAAAGCCCCTCCCTCCCACGGAGTGAACCACCTCGTCGGTGGCGAGAAACAACCCAAGCACGAATCTCCGGATGCTTCCGATGGTGGTGCCGGTGGTCCGACGAACGTACCTCCCGGAACGGGTGGCACGGAGGTCGGGGGTCGCTACGAAAGTGATAGCAACAACGGCCTGGCGGTGGCCGTTGCTGTTCGCGAGAACGAGGACGTTTTCATTCCCTCCGCTGTCGAATACGACCCGGATGCCATCAAGTATCCCGTGTACAAGAACCAACGCGTGCGCGTRTATGGCCTCTTGTTCTGCATCTTGCTCATCATCGTTACCGCCTGCACGATCGGGGTCTTGACCATTCTACAGAGASAGGACGACGAGCAGCACCATGTACCTACCGAGTCCCCGACGTGTGCCCGCTGCACCTTGGATTATATCGAACAACTGGAACTGGAAGTTGGATCGCAAAAACTCAACGACCCCGAGTCTCCGGAATACCTTGCCAAGGAATGGATCATACACGAGGACGAGATGCAGCTCTTGCCTACGGACCTCAATTTTATTCAGCGGTTTATCATGGCCGCCTTCTACTTTGATACACACCAAGTGGCCCCGTGGCGGTCGTGCAACCAGCAGAGTATCGATCTTGCCGACAACGAGACCGAAAAATGTGACTTTTTAAAGCTGTCGGGCATCAAACCACTGGTATTCGAAGCATGTGAGTATTTTGGTGATCGCGCTCCCRAATGTGTATTCGCAGCAAAACACAGCGACGCGAATCGTGGTTTCGGAAATCTTCACCGTCTKTCTTAATCTCTCACCGTCAATCCTTTCCCCTCCCTTTCTACTTTTTGGGCAGTCCCGGCCAACCGCTGGTTGAGTTCCGTGCACGAGTGYGAGTGGGCAGGGGTCATCTGCGACAATCTCATGCAGATTCGAGTCATTGATTTGCACGGGCAGGGAATCGAGGGAACCTTCCCCAGTAGTTTTCAGCGGCTGCGCTACGTCCAGACCGTTGCCATGCAGTGGAACAATTTTACGGGGCCTCTCCCGGRTGGCTTTGGCCAGATGAAATACCTGATCCATGTCGAGATGCACAACAATAGGTTCACGGGGAGCTTTCCGAACAGCTGGTCATCCGCTCGGAACCTTCAGCTCTTGAACGTGGCAGAGAATTTTCTAACTGGGCAAATTCCCACCAGCGTTGGGAATTTCCGWAACATCAAGGGCCTATTCCTCTTCAGGAACCAATTTTCGGGAACCTTGCCGCCCGAATTCTCAAATACCAAGTCGCTAGGTATGTAAAATGGTTTGAATGCCTGATTCTGTGCTACCAGTATCGTTGTCCAATGAATGGTAATGYATGCTGTAACAAGGGACGTAGCTGTATGGCCTCGTGCACTTGCATAGACTCACAAAATAGTCGTTGTGTTTCTTCGACATTCCTTTGCATTTTCCTCTCGATTTTGACGATACACGAAACTCCTGATCTTCGCATCGGCAGCATTCATGCGCTTCCACAAAAACGAGTTGACGGGTACCATCCCTCCCGAGTTTGGCGATATGCACGTGAACGAGCTTTGGCTGCACAATAATGAATTGACCGGCACCCTCCCCACTGAGCTTGGAAAACTAACTAATTATTTGACCGACATCCGTATGAGCGAAACTTCTCTCGAGGGAACAATCCCGGAAGAAATTTWTAAAATGTCACAGCTGTGGCGTCTCGATCTCCATAAATCGAAGTTTACCGGAACTATTAGTCCCAATATCACCAAACTCGAAGGACTGCAAACTCTGCGTCTTAGCAGCAACGGTTTCACTGGGACGCTTCCATCCGACTTTAGCAGCATGACAAATCTAAGAACCGTATGGTTAGACGGCAACAACCTGTCTGGGACGATTCCATCGAGTATCTGTGATCTCAAAGAGGAGCACATTCTGGAATTCGTCCAGGCAGACTGCCTTCCGGATCCGTCCTCGGGACAGCCATTGGTAACTTGCGAATGTTGCGATGTGTGCTGCAGCGCCGAAACGGGGGCCTGTCAATTCTAGAAACAGGAGTGATCTGTGCGGATTCCTCGTTGTGGCGACAACGATGGTTTAAAGGGATGTAAAGTGTCGTGTTTTCTGTGCATCAAACAGTAATTATTTACTAGTAATACTTATACTTTTTAGTACAACTAAGAGTATCGTATGCTTTCCAGCGTACCGGTACGAAGTACGAAGTATCAGAATCATGGATCATGGTTCGTACTACGTACGTAGTTCATAGTGGAGCATCAGGGTACGTACCGTACGTACGTACCCGTACCGTATGAACATGAACCGTGTTTTTAGTTTTATCCATTCATTGACCATCCCGGACTCAAAATTGGTCAATCGTGCGAAAGGGATTGTGAACGCGCGATGCTCATTGGAAGCTTTTTACAATTACAACCCGTGATTTAGTTTTGCTTACGCGAAGYGTGCCATATGGTCGCAAAAAGTTCGTAACAATTGTCTACGTGTACCCTACGTGTCGAGACTACGAAGTAAAACATTAGTGGGAGTGCCATGGTGAACTTCGTGGGGAAAAGTTGACGACGACAAAATCGGCACAAACCAAAAGCAGCAAACTAGGGTTCACTTCGGTAAGCAGCGCACAACCAGTGTCGTCATCCTCTTCCGAAGAAATAAGAGTGAGTGATTGTTAGTGAYCTTTTTTCATCATTGATGCTACGAGTATTCGACCGGTGTTGTAGATCGTTTTTTCGACGACTTCATGGGCAGCAGATAGCTGTCCGATTTCATTTTCCATTTCATCGCATCATCAAGTGGAGTATCACAAATCGATAACTCTCTGTTGATGTTTGCAACGCAACTCCGAGGGGTTGAAAATGGCGCTGTTGATAAAGGAAATTCGCGCGCACATGGTCATTGYAGCCAGTTTCAGTCACGGATGGCATKAACGCGACTAGAACCCGAACAAAATCTATCAACGGATCAGTGATACTTAGGGTCGGTCCGCCTCATTTCTTTAAAATCATGCCACAYTTTTACAAGAGACTCCCYCTTATTTTGATTCACAACAGTTTCGAACAACATGTGGGATGTCTCATTTTTGGCCTCAATAAATCACCGCATTTTCTTTAATTCCRAAGTCTCTTTAATCTGTCGAATATCCGTGTCGACTCACCGAGATAACCCTCTCTTTCACTCTGTTAACTCTCTCTTTCGCCCCGCTATTCCTACCTCGACGATCAACTCCACTCGAAACTATTGACACACTTTTGTGTCTGGGTTTTGTCTGTTGCCATTTGACGATCATGGTTCCYGCTAATGACWCTGTGTGGACAAACAAATTAATGGCGGATCAATCGTTGATTGTTCATAACTTTGGCATGTATCCGTGCAGAACACATCGCAAGATTGGATTAGGTCTCTTCAGCCTACGTCCCAACTATCGTTTCAGTAGTAGACGTCGTCGTGAGGAAGAATTTGAACCGATAGATATTTTATTGTCAAAGCAACATTCCAGCGTGATGGGTGACGATCAGCAATCGGTCAAAGAAGAGACCCAAGGCTCTGATGCGCAAGGTGATGTAGCAGTAATCCAACCATCTTTTGATGATGATGGTTTTCGCAAGAAGCCATCGGAAATGAGCGACGACAAGTGCTCCTCTCCCAATCATCGTGGAGGTCACAAGCAAAATCTTTCGGAACACTTCCAAGATGCCACCAATTTGTCGAACGGAAGTCCAGCAAAAACGGGGCAAAAACACAGCAGAGCATATTCAGGAGATGCATCGAATCCAGCGCAGGCTCATCGACGAATCGATTCGGTTGGAAAATCAGCTGCGATTAAACGCGCCAAACCTCATCGTAGGATCGATAGTTCAGGRCTCGACGCCTTGACTGCTGCCGCGGACTTTTCGCGAGAAGAATTACAAGCTTCGGCCACTGGTAGACATTCTTGGAACAACCATCCCAACTTTATTCGTCGATCCCCCATTGAAACAACATTCGAYCATACAGTACATGGACCTGCTCCTCCATCTCACCAACAACCTCCACCACAACTTCCTGGAAGTGTTCGATCACCTATGGAAACAGCTACAACATTCGACCATACGGTACACGGGTCTGCACCTCCACCTCATCAACAACCTCCTCCACAACTTCCTGGAGCTGCTCACCACCGGCACTATTCCTTAAATTCATCCGGAGGATTACCAGCCCGGACAGTTTACTATACACATCCATCCTATCCCCAGCCACCATATCACCCCGCTTACCATTATCCCCCTCATCCAGTGAGCAACGGATATCCACGTCATCATGGGCCACCACATGGTCCTCCKCCACCAGCCAGCTATCCTGTGCAGTATGCTCGCCCGCGTGGTCAAGATCCTTACACAAAGCACCACACCCCTTTGCAGCAACCTACTCTCGAACGTCCTCATAGTGAAAACCCAGCGCGCACGTCTCCAACTGTCGCTAGCATCGATCATAAACATTCAGCAGTCAAAGTGAACGAAACCATGGGACCACCCGCCCCACATCAGTGGCCACGAGGTGGTAGCACGCAGGGTGTACAAACGTACGTAACTGCGATTGCAGTGGATTCGAGGCAACCTGGACCACCAGCTCCCAGATCGAGCCCATCAGCAGGTCATCACCGGAAGTTATCTTCTTTTTCGAATTTGGGTCCTTTATTATGGGGCCAATCGTCTCAACCAGAATCAATTGGAAGTGGGAGAGCCCATCATCGCTCGACCTCTTCGTCCATTTCTTTTCTTGATAGTGCAGATGCTGCATTTTTAAGGAATTTACAAGAAACAACCGGCACTCGCGCTGCAGTTTATGATGCCACYAGTTTACAGGAAAAGAGCGAATCGTCTTCTGTAAAACAACCTTCTTCTGCCCCAGCCTCTGCCGCAAGCAAGCTCATGGCTGGTGGAACGAGTAAACGCGTTCGACGGAAATGTACTGTTGAAGGCTGCCATAATCGTGTAGTTCAGGGTGGCCTTTGCATATCTCATGGTGCCAAGCGTAAACTATGCAAGTATCCAGGATGCAAGAAACACGTCAAGAAAGCCGGACTATGTAGTACACACGGACCAGCACGAAAACGTTGTGAGTTGGAAGGCTGTACAAAGGTTGCTGTACAAGGCGGCCGTTGCATTGCGCATGGAGCGAAAAAGAAGCTATGTTCTGTCGACCGATGCACAAAACAAGCTATTCTTAGTGGGATGTGTAAGAAGCATCATGATCAAAAGCAAGCGGGCGAAAATCCTACCTGTACGATTATCGATCCGAAAAAATCTCGTYCTTCAAAGGGGCCGAAAAAGCCGGGTCACACACGTGGTCTCTCGATTTTCCAAGAAATTAGCGTAGATGCTGTAGGTGACTTGCTAACGGCAGATGCTGCCACGAAGCAAAATAGTGGGAAAGGCGCACCGACGGCTGACCGTACAATATCCTCTTCTGTGGAAAAAAATGAAGCAAGTCATCATCACCGCAGTACCGCTTCACGTGAGTTCAGATTATATATTCCAGTCCTTGACCTTATATGCCTTTAGCTGTCAAARCGTRAAGTATTCATTMCGACCACTAACATTATTCCTCTCTTTCACGATTGCGCAGAGGTGTTGGTTGATATGGTCTAATCGGGAAAAACGAAGATGCGATAGAGACTCTATGATTCTTGTCTATTACTCCAWTTTATTTTATGTATTCAAGGGATGCTATAAATCTTGAACAATCCAGCGTGTACTATTTTACTGATATCCGCAGTAGCTATAACTGTGCATTTTATCCAAAAAAGTTGTGAATAGATAAATCTACTTCAAAAACTTTCAAATATAATYGAACCGAATAAACATCCTTTCAAGATGACTTTGTATTAAAAAATTATGTAGTGAGCATCGCATCACAATTACATTCAAAATACAAGATTGAGCACCATCATTTTGTAATTAGMAGTATTTCATTAGCAAAAAAGTGCCGTATCAGCGATACTTTCAAAATCACTATAAATATTGGTTAATTCCCGTAACCCTAGATTCTAAAATCTAGACCCGGGCCATCTTAGCTTGATGGGAATTATTTCGGCCTGACATDCAACATCTACGAATGCGGAGGGGTATGGGAAGAGTGCAAGAAGTGGACTGAGTAGTAGCATCCTAGATACTTAGATAGGTGAGGTTTTTGCATATTCTAACGTGATGGTACAAAGTGCTTTTTGGGGCAGTGTTTATGTATGTGTTATGATCATGAGAAAAYTAGTCTGTTTCAGATGGTCTGTTCAGAGGTTTGAGAGCGAAGACGTGCCAAACTTGGTTGATTGTCCGGGTCTGTTTCAGTTGCCRTTTCCAGGMAAGATCAWAACMACGGCAACCAAAAGATCATTCTGAACTTGATGATGATGCTGTGAGCCTGTTCCATGAATCTGACTTTAAGCGCATATTCAGATCTAGCCAGTCCATRGCAGTTTATTCTAGAATTTGGAGACTTGGATGGAACTAACCTGACTGGTCGAAGTGCAGTGTCGGATAGTAGTCTAGATTCGGCCGATCTAGGTTTTTGAGGATGGCCCCTCATCAGTTGACGAGTGGTAATGATTGATTGTGGTGTTTCCTTTTCTTGTAAAGTAGCAAGAGCGACGTCAATGCCAGACAACCTGCCAGTGTCAATACGCTTCAAAGGTAACTGGTTACTCTATTTGAATGATACCCATGAATCTATTCTTTAGTTTAGCATAATAATTACGGGTGTGATTATTTGGTACTTTGTTTTGTTTCCATCGAGGTCGTTCCACTATGTCCTTCCCTTCACACTGTCGATTCATCAACCCGCTGTTTTGTCGATCCCGACACAGYAGGTGTGCTCTCGTCCAACAACGCTGCGACATAATTTTGCGATAGAAGTCCCATTGATTTCCCGTATGTCGTCGAAGAAGCATTCGGTGCAGAAGCAGAAGAGCTCTTACTTTCTTCTCTGGGCTTGCCGATGAAATTTCGATCGGTCCTGGCAAATCGTCGAATCTTCCTTGAACATAGGTGTTCACCACCGCTCGGTGGCGTGTTGCCACCGYCATTGTTATAGTTGCAATCCCTATTTGTTTCTTTGGATGGTCTCATTTCAATTCTTCCCCTTCGTGTCCCAGCTCTAAGCAGTCGTGCCGATGTTTCGTAGTCTTGGAAGACCAAATGTATTTGCGGATCGTTATGGTGCCCCTGAAGACGTCCTCCTCTGCGAGATGTTCCTCTGTTGTATAGCTCTTCGGCAGATCGAATCACAGGCTTGTTATTATGCGAGGATAATCCATAAGGTGCAAGCGACGAGCTGCTGTAGCGTCTCCGCCGGCGTTGAGCGTTGAAGTCGACGTCGTAATTGCCGTGGTTATAATAGTTGTAATAAGTATTGTAGCGATAGTTTTTTTTTGATCTGTTTCTTTCATCAGCGTCCGCTGCGGCACCAGCAGCGACTGCTGCCTTGGTCAAGGTCGCTGCCATAGCGTGGTGCTGTTGTTGTTGTTTGGAATCGGTGATACCATAATTTTGATATCCAGAAGATGCTTTCTTTCGTTTCTTTTGACCGGTGCTTGTAGTTGTCGTTGTTGTGATCCATTCCGGCAGCTGCGAGTCGTGATGCACACTTCGTTCCTGTACAGAAGTATTCGGAACTGGCGCCGCTACAACTAGTGATTGTGGTGGATTTTCTGCTTGATGGTCATTGCGTGAGAGCTGTGTTTGTCTCCATGCTTCTGGAGATGCTCCTTTTGTAGGAACTTCCACGGTAAYATCGTTAATTGGTTTCAASTGTTCATTTTTCGAATCATCACTTTTTGTGTTCGTGTGATTCAYCAAACTAGATTTTGTCAAACCACCAGCACCGCTAGTGGAGAAGTTGTTCTCCACGATTTGAAAGCGCATCCAAGGTTCCCGATCGCGTCTACCAATACTTAAAATATCATTGGGACGCAGTGCAATCGGTTGGTGGTGGTCGTCCTTGTTGCTCTGGGAGTTGTCGTTGCATTCTTGATCGGTACCTGCAGCGCACTTAGCATCATTGCTGCTGCTTTTGTTGTAGTTGTTGTTGTTACCTCGTTCGGGAGTAATAATGGTTACCAAGTGTGGGTTCTTGCCAACGATGTGCGCCGTCCCTTTTGTATCAATTTGAATCATTACCTTTGACAAACTCCCTATGTTTTGAGCAACCGGTCGGCAATGGAGGCGGCAATAATATTGTTGGCAGTCACAGGATTGGTACCACCACTGAGACAAGTTAGCCCGGCCCAATACGATGGGAAAYTGCTTGGCTTCTAACGGCTGTTGTTGCTGCTGCTTGGCATTTTTTGAGAAGGCTACGGATCGCATTGGAATCAGAGCTAACTTTGAGGAAGATTGCTGCTTGGGACATTTCGACGTCGGTTTWCCGTCAACTTTTGGCTCGAATGGTAATTTCCGGTTTGCGGAAGCATCTTCTAGATCAGCAGGAGTTGAGTTTTCTTCGTGTTCTCGTCGTTTCACAATCGGTGGAGTGGATGCCATTTGGCCTTTCTACCCCTTTTRCGTTGCGGAAGACGATTTGAAATGATCACACGAATCAATCTTAGTCGATATKAGTATTGCTCTTCTACCTTTTCCACCGTGACGAAAGAGGGTGTATAACGAACTTCGCAGTGGCTAAGCAAAAATCAAGTTGACGTCTCTTCGAACAATTTATTTGCYGGGATGAAATTAAGTTTGCAGCAACGGCTTGTGATGGAAAATTTGGAATATCTATAGGCTTGAGATTTGTGGCTGTCAATGATGCAAAATAAAGAGTGACCCACATCGAATCTGATTGATGAATCAACCTCGTGTCATGTGTTGCAGGTTGCTTTCAGCAAGGGCCAACGTGCAATGCTTATTTTTTATTTTTATTTTCGCTAGATTTCAATAATTCAAGGAGGTTTTCAGGGGCTCCAGAAGTGATCAAAAAATAATAAATTGGGTCGCTAACGCAAATAGTTACTACCGTACTACTAGTACGATGCAAAAACTAAGTTAGTAGTGCCAAGGTAAAGAGTAACAATCTGAAAAGAATTTAGAAGCTTATCAATGATGAAGCATTGTGGCTGTTTCWTGTTGTTTCTAAAATAGGAATGGAATTCATTGACTTTTTGTCTATGTTGAAGATCGTTGCTGGCAGTGTTTGTTTTTGTAAAAAGAAGAGGTGATCTTGCAAACACCACCAGACCACTGGACGAACAAGAAATTCTACTAGTACTACTAGTAGTAGTAAACAACATTGTTACTTGCAAGTACTAATCCAATTGCTTGTGTAGTAAGACCAAGTTGAAACCAACRTATTTTCCAAAGATCTTCCCTGTAATTTGTGAGCAGTTCATGCATTGGCAATATTAGTAATTGGTGGGAATTGAGTTAGTAAATGTATTCCCTCCTTGTTGTGACTTGTTTGAGTTTGATGGTGGATAATTTTTGACTCATATTCTTGGGGACATCAACATTTAGCGGTTCTTGCTACTATAGGAGTGTTTGGAGAAGTCAACGCAATGACTTTTTTAGTCTTCTTTTTCGTTGAGGACCATTCTTTCTAACAATTCACCTTCATTAAAATCCATGAATGTTGATAATTTCACAATCCACCCAGGCACCCATTTTTTAGTTTGATRTACTTGAAAGTACACATGGTTCCATTTTCTTTTGATTTTCAACATCTATGTTGTCATTAATGATGACAGGTCTGCCAACATAAAATTTAAGCATTGGATATATCCTCTTGGAAGATTTGGTTCCACTTGCAACTATGTCAGCAGCTGATGCYACGGTTTGTAGTAAGCAATATTGCTGAAAATCAGACATGTCCCTGTATTTTCTTGTTTTGTCAATCTGCAGTTTTAGGTTTGAGGCCTTGATTACAATGGTGTGATCTGGTAATCTGACATTWATATTTTTGAGCATGTGGTTTTGAGAAAGTCAGAAAATATGCCATCATTTATTGCGCACTTGTCTGCATTACTGTATGTTGCATAAACAATATTTTCTGGGAGTTTGTTGTCCCAAGGTTTTACAATTTTTGGATTGATGATTTGAACATGCTCTTCTTACAATCTTGTTCTTAAATCGTCAAGAAGATCCCCCCAGATTATATCATTTTTAAACCTCCTGTGATTTGTTTAAAGTTCAAGAAATGTGTTTGGTTTTTCTCTTCAGACAAGATAGAAATCCTTTCTAACAAGAGCAAGTCTCCTCCCACTGGTTTGAGTTGTTGGAAGTTACCTGCAAATGCAGTGGATAGATTACCATGTAAATTATATCATAATGGTTTATCACTTAACAAGTTGAGATACTCATTCAATGTTTCCAACTGTTTGATGCTAGCAAATGATATCTCATMATTGATGAGAAGACAAGTCTCATTTTCCCATGCATCATCCTGTGTGATGCTGGATCTGGCACAATTCAGACAGCAAGTTTTATGTGTTGTTTCCCCCCATTGATGTTAACTACCACTACTGCTGTTCCAGTCATGCCTGTGATAGCCAGAGTTCTGTTGGAAAAGTTAACTCCCAGTGGTGCTTTTCTTAGGTTTCTACAATATTGTCGAACAGAATGAATTACTTTGATTTTCCAGTACCACCAGTCCCTGATTGAAAGCAGATGAACTGCTCTTTATTGTTCATGGTTGYCTTTAGATCTATATTTGCTGTAGCAATTACTACCGATGAAACTTCCTCTTGAATCTCTTTTTCTTGATTGATCAGGTGAAYGCAGAGACTTTTGATGAAGTTTGAAAACAAAAGCTGCAACAATCTAGCTAAATGTATTTTCTTTGTTCTTGTCATTTTGAAAATTCAATTTTGCATAGTTTCTGATATTTTCCAAGCTTCCAGTAAATGTAAATTTTTTGTAGCTTTTGCACCATCAGTCTCATGGGTGACAACATCAAATTTTTTGTGTAGAATTTGATACAAACACTTCTTGGAAGCTCATTAGGTTTTATTTTGGTTGAGATAATGTGTATCATCTGTAGACAAAACCAAGTCACCTGAACCTGAGTTCTGAARTGCAATTGCATTTGAATATGGTGGGACTTTGGGTATTTTCAGCAGTGTTCTTCTACACTTGTGGAACCTTGTCTGTGACAACTGAAGTGTTTATTTGTRGCTCAATGAATCTGTCTGTAAACTGAATCTAACCTGGACAGTGCATGACATCCATATTGTCAACAAATTCTATGCAAAGTTCATGAAAGAAACTAGGACTGTCACTTCCTTCATTAGTCTGACAGCAATTCTCACCTTTGAAAAGGTTTTGTGTAATTTGTTCCAGAGCATCTTTAGGCCTTCTTGCGTTTAAACTACTGTGGCAATCCTGGGCATTTTTCAGTAGTTTTTGATTACAGTGCTTCAATTTTCCACTTTTTAGAATTTSCCTGAATTTTGGAAAATATTTTGAATCTATTTGGAGTTCTTGTTTTGYGTTTCTGAAGTTTTTTAACATATGTTTTCCTCCCCTGCTGGCATACACTTCATTCAGTGTCTTCTTTGTTGGTTGACTTTGAAACATAACAGGTCACAGAACAATTTGCAAGAAGTACTACTACTACAAGTTACTATTTTTGCAACACAATTCTTCCTTTGCTTCTTACTGGCAAAAGAATGGTCCTTGTGGTGATGATGCTTGCACTACCACTGGTTGGGAGCAATGATACTAGAGGGCACCATTTCTCCAAAGGAAGAATCATTGCCAATTAAGGTACTACTTCTAGTAGTAGTCATAGTACTCAGCACCACTAGCTCCTATAAGATGGCATCATTGGTAATGTTCTTTGCTGCTCTATTACAGATKCTAATGTATCATATGTTACAACCATGTTTCAATGAAAAGTTCAATTACCAGCACTGGTGTGTTGATCACACCAGTAGGGCTTCCTGTTGGCTGTTTGTGGTGGATAGTAGTAGGGTTGTTCATGTCAAGTCTGTTTCATATGATCAAATTAACCAAATCATTTACCACCAAACAATTAATTGGGTCAATTTTTGCAACAATCTATTGTGAACCAATCATACTTTGAAGCAATCACTACTAATAAAACCTTTTTGATGTTTGATATTGCAGTATGCAAGGCACATAATGCATAAGTCCTCAATAGCACTTTTCTATCTGTCMGTASAGACATCCTCATAGCAATAAGGAGAACTTGCTTCATTTCCTTCTGACAGCAACAACAAGGAGCCCTCTTGTTGTCTTCCTCTTCAATCATGTCTTATTCAACAATGATATACTATCAAGMATAGAAAGGGGAGCCGTGGAAGTCATCATTGAAGCAACAGTATTTTGAACAAAAGTAGTTTGCAGATCATTTATTGCTAGTAGAAGATTGTATGGTTGCCCTTGTCATATGGGTTGCTATTGATGTTGTTCCATCCTATTAGCTAACAAAGGGAGCTATGTCATGAAGAGGGGGAAAGCATTTGAAACCAGATCTAAAACAGAGATGAGCAATCCTTGTCTGTGTACTAGGGGTCATAAAGTTTGGAGGCGTGCTTGAGRAAATATAGCACATGCTGATCTATTTTGTGMAAAAAAAACTTCATATGATTYCATATTTTCTAACTACTACAGTTTCACTGCATAAACTTAAAACTAATGTCACTTTAACATAAAGTAGTAAAAACATGGTGAAGAATTGAAATATTTGTCTTCTGGGCTTTCATGAATTCTGAGTATCAAATTCATCAATTTATTGGTGCACTTATCCATCAGCAGAGAGTCAACATGATTGTCAACAAATCTAGTAAGCTGTCAAGAATCTGATAATCTGATCTACATTTTTTCTAGTACTAGCCATAGCAGCTTTGTTGTTGTGGTATTTTATTACTAATACTACTAGTAGCTAGCACTACTACTAGTAGTAGCTACTAATAATAGTTGAGCTATATGGTTGACAAGATTGCCAGCATCACCACTCCATCCCCTCCCACCAGCATGCAGTGGTATTTGACCCTTCTCAATCACAACAAGAAATAGATGCATAGAACATTGAGAAGTACTATTTGAGCACAAATTTCGAACCTAAGTTGTTTTCTTCCTTTTCCAGTTAAACAACTAATAGTTCACCATCAATGCCATCTTCAATTGAAGATTTGCCAACATACCACATAAATCCCAATTGGCAGAAACTGGTGGCTAAAGTAGAAAAGGGAAACAATGATTAATTTACAAAGTTGTTGCTACCAAAGAAAAATACAAAAATCAAAAGATAACAGCTTCATGTCTCCTTATTGCACATTGTTCTTACTAGTAGTAGAAACAACATTCTTGTGATATGTTATGTAGTGACATACTCCTAGTAATATCAACTTGTCTCCAGAACAAGATTTTACGGGCTCTTTCACCAATGCTACTATTACCAATTTTATAATRCTACTGGTAGTACTCTCAACATCTGCTGCTGCTTTTGTTCATTTTCTTCAAAACTGATACTGTTGTTGTCTACTAGTAGACAACCCCACATGTTTTTGGGGAGTTCTGTTTCAGCAATCAACCACTGTCTAACTATGTCCAGCATAGTCACAMCAGAGGCAGAAAAAAGAGTACTACTATTCATAATTTTCATTGTCATTTTCCAGAAATAACTTGCTGGCAAGAAGAAGCTTCCCATAAAAAGAGACATACTTAATTTGAGTGTTCTAATAGAAAATACTACTGTTTATGTATTTGCCTACCATTATTTGACTCCAATCCTAGTAGAAGGAAGTACAAAGTTCATTTCTTTGCCCACCATCAAATTTGAGTTCTTGACACCTAAGAATGAACCCCTTCTAGTTTTTTAMTACTGGGGATCTACTCATACCAAAACTACTAGAATAATTAAGACTAGTAGTAGTAGTAGTGCTTCAACTTACTATGCTGTGATGATCTTTTAAAAATAGTACTTGTGGTACTACTGGTAGAGCTAATGGCTAGAACAACAAATGCATTACTGCTGCTACTATAATACTAGTACTAGTACTAGTAGTACTAATAGTAGTACTAATAGTAGTACTAGTACTAATACAAAAATTTCCAGGACAAGAATCAAGATATTGTTGTTGTTGTTCTCCCTAAGTACTACTACCTGCATCACTGTACCACAGACAGAGAACATTTTGTTCAAGAAAAAGGCTTGAAAAAGTTGGTATAATTTCTTTTGGCAGGAGTGGAAAAACTTGCATTAAAACTGCTGCTATTCTTGCATGCTACTGCCACTACTACTAGTATTACTGCTATTACTAGTAGTAGTAGTAGTAGTAGTAGTAGTAGTAGTAGTAGTAGTAGTAGTAGTAGTAGTACTAGTAGTAGTACTAGTAGTAGTAGTAGTAGTAGTGGTACTAGTTTGTGTACTACTGAATTTATTGTCCATGATGTGGTTCAACATTGCATCCAGTTAGCAGATGTATAAGTGGATTACTTAAAAAATGAATAAACATACTGTTGTGAAAACAATATTTCTGTTTAAATATCAAATTGCAGCAGTCATTTGGTAATGGGGGGATCGTGTTTTGATTATTCCTGTTTAAAAACTAGTACTGGTTCAATCAGCATGTACTCCTACCTGTAGCTCAAGAAGTGCTCCTTGTCCTCTGAATCAAAATRATTTTGATTGGAATACTAGTAGCAGTCAACTAATCACTGTGTAGTATGATAGTAATGTTTATCATATTTAAATTTAAATTGTATTGATGACATGTGAGTATTGGATTGTGTCGTGCTAAACACTTTCTGAGTACTTGTACTACCRTAGTGGTACTACGTCTGGTATATTAAAAAGTGCTGCACTGCTCTTGTGCGCAATTCGGACAATACTCTACAGTGGGATAAATGCTGCAAGTGCTTGCTGTACAATGAGTGATGAATCGGGTGAGTTTGATGTTGTTTGTTGTTGRTTCGTTAAAGGCAACCTACGGCCGTTATTCTGCACAGTCTTCGTCGTTGCCATCGCAATAATTTTGCTCTGGTTGCTATTATTTATGTTATCGTGAATGAACCATTCAAGCTTTAGTCATGGTGCTGCTAGGAGATTTCCATCATTTGTGTGACTGTCATTACACAGCCGGCAACTCAGATTGGGACTTAGCCTCTTTTTYGGCCTTCTTTTGAGCGGCAGTGAAGGCTGCGTACCCACCATACTGTGATGGAAAGGCGTCGCCATGTTTCTTGTCATCGTTACTGTTGCCGTGTTTGCGATTCTTCCAAGCCTCCGGAAAGATATCATCTGGAATCAAGATGGGATGACGAAAGGCATTAGGTAGATACAAGTCCTGCGTTCCTGTCATGTCTTCAAACATAAAGGCCCGACGGGGAACATCAGAAAACGTTACACGCTGGTATTTGGGCTCTTCGTCATCCCCTTCGTTTTCTTCGTCTTTCTCTTCTTCTTCGTCTTTCTCTTCTTCGTCTTCTATGCGAACATTTACCACCACCGTGTACAGGGTGGGATCGAGCTCGGGGGGATATAGTTTGTGGTCGTCGTCAGTTGTTGCCCCAMTGCCGTCTTGGGGATCGGAATCCCGTTTGCCACTCTTGAAGACAACTTCAACSGGCTCATATTCAAATTCGTCAAACATAACCTTGGCTGTGATCGAATGGTCGCCGTACYTTCTACGGTATTCCTCRTTTCTCCAAGCATTGCTTACCATCAGCCGAACGGAAGGGGGAAGTAGAGTATCGTGGTCTTTCATGGTGTATAGGCTGGGTAGGGGCTCCCTCAAGTGCTCATCTCGGGTATTGAGATCGATAGCGCTCACGTAGGTGGAATGCTTGCCTGGGTAGGGTTTCCAGTTGCGAACATGCTCGTTCCAGGCAKCTTCCCAAGCGTCACCGTAGTCCAGAAAGAGTTCGTCATCCGGAGCGATCGGCTTGGTGGCGATCAGCTCTAGGGTCAGTACCGATCCAAGCGGGTGGTCTCGGGTCAGAACGTCGACCGATTTCTCTAGTAATTCTGGGTGGTGGTTGGACCTATGAGTCTCTGCCCATTGTAGTTTCAGATTTTGGAGCGTTTGGTTGTGGTTGACGAGCTGGACGCCGGGTCCGTAGGGCGACAAGAGCAGAGTCGATTCRTTGTGTCCAAAGACGTAGTTCATCAAGAGTTGGGTTCCGGTCTTGTTCATTCCGACACGGAGCTGGTATTGAAAGAAGCGGTCTTCGTGAAGGGCATCGTAATCAATTCTGTCGGGATTTTTGTTCTCGTCATCTTTTTCTCCGTCATCGTCACTTGGGTCCCTTTCGAACTGATTATAGTTTTCCTCGAACACATAGTACGTGTCGAGAATGTCTCGGTGGGGAATATGGATTAGCGGCGCCGTGAGAACCACRTCCCCGGGTTCGAAATGGGTCCTTGAAAAAGCCCCGTGTCCAGCCTGCTTGTTGGGCAAGGTAGAGCGTCCAATGCGGACGGCATCGGCGCACACGCCATGCTCCTCGAGCCAACTTGCAGAACGCTTCATCAAGGATTGCTTGAACGGCAAAAAACCGCCCGGATACTTTAACATTTGTTYATAGTGGTCCGACCCCGCCTCTGGAAGGGCTGCAAAGACACGCGATTCGCCCCATGTGTCCTTCCCAATGGGGATGATTACCGTGTCCCAGAATTCACGATAAATATTTTTAAGAAGGGTAGAGTCAAATTTGTCGTCATCCTCGATTTCGTCCTCGTCCTCGTCSTCATTGTTTTCATTTTCATTTTCGTCTTCTTCGATGTCCTCGTCGGTCTTCGATTCTGCTTGTTGCTGCAATTTTTCGAGATTTCGTTCGCGTTCTCGTTGTTCCTGTTGGCGCTTGCGCCCCCCCAAGAAATTCCGGTCGTAAGATTTCCACAGCCTCTCGGCATCCTCGTGATCCCCGCTGACGGGGATGATTCCCAGTCGCCAGGCCCGATCAGTGAACCACCGATCCCCGTAGCTCACAAAGAATTCCGAATAGGGACCAATCTCTTTAGAAGCCCATGCGGCACGGCTGTGGAACGGAGAAAATGACCCGGCCCCGGGGTCTYTCGAGCGGTGTATGTTGTAGTTTTGGTCGTCGTTGCCATCGTCGTTGCTGTCCTCGCTGTCCATCAGTCCGAATTTCACCCCGCCCTCTTCGACGTTGACGAAATCCATAAACGAATTCGCGGCTGCCCCGAATCCAGCGCTAGCCATTGCCGGTTCGTGCGCAGCCAAATTTTCGACGTTAAGCCCAAAGACGCGTGCATTCCAGGTGTATTGGTCCCACAAAAAGTATTTGCGCATGTCGTTGGCATCCTCGTCGTACAATCCTGTATCGATGTGAGTCTCCTTCAGATCGGTGATCGGAATCACGTGGTCGCCGAGTTGCTTAGTGATGAGTTCGTCTTTGCGGTAACCGTTCCGACCGGCGTACATGCCAATGCCGGTTCCGGGCAGCGTCGATTTGGCCAGATAGACACCGCACACAAAGTGGTTGTCCTTCTCTTCTTCTGGTGCTGTTGTTGYTGCTGCTGCTGCCACTAGCATCGATCCACCTGCACTTCGATCCAGGACGGAATCATAATACGAACACAGGATCGCAAGCAWCGATAGCAGCCGMAGCCGTCGCCACTGCTTGCACGACGAACTAAACAGCATTGTCTTCKTCCCTCTTCAATTCTTCCTTGCTAGAGCGCAGTGTATTGTTGCGCAATTTTTCTTGCGTGCCGGTTGTTTTGTGTTCTGTTCTTTGGTAGTTTGGAATGCTATGCTACGCTTTGCTTTCGCTGCCTTCCGTAGGTACGAAATAGGGTCAAGCACTATTGTCAACAGAAGACCATTAATGTGCTTTCGGCAAAGATCACGAAGAAAAGAAAAATACTTGCAATAATAGAGTGCGAACTGCAATGAATATGAATGCTTACAACATATTCGTACCACTGTAATAGACCCAAGTGCACGGTTCGGAATGTTATTTGCGAGAGGTCATAAATCTTGGTTTCCAACGGTTGGAAAATGGCTTGATTCCGGGACTCGTCGAATTTTTTCCAGAAAAAGAATTCACATTTTCAACCCCAAAACACAGCATTCAAAAGGGGGGGGAGGCGTTTTGAATTTCTCTCGAGCATGGGTTCCACAGTCTACAAGTACCAGGTACCGTACCGTACGGTACCAGTTAGTTGCTAATTCTACAGTAGAATACTACCGGTACGTACGTAAAGGACTGTGCAGCGTGCGTGCAGCATCACCTGAATGGATGACGGCAACACCGGGTGAGTCGTGTGGATCGGTCGCAGTTTCGTCCACGGGCACGCGGTGGGGACCAAAAATTGAACGCTCTTGACRGAGACGCCCCCTGCCGTTAGGAATGCTAAACCACGCCGCTAACGGTAGGAAAGTTTTCTCGGTTCAACGAAAAAGAGAATCAGGGTCGTACGGTACATACCCTGGTACTGCAGTATCACCCGAGAGACATCGCCAGAACGTAGCTGCCGAGGTGGTTCCAACAAAATAGGCAAGACTCGATGGAATCGAATTCGCTGCATCGAACAACACCCTGACAAGTCGAACCAGCACTCGAAGCCAATCGCAACTACAATTTGGTATTGCATTGCGACAACTCCAAATCAATCAACCTTTCACTCCGAGACCGAATCGAAACAAAGACAGGACCCGGGTTCCCGTCGTGTRCCACAGCGTAGAACAAAAGAGCCGTCCTCGTCTTCGAAAACACCGGTCACATTGGTCGATTGGATTTCCAGCAAGCAAGCGACAACAACAAACTGACCCCGTTGGTTTCATTGAATTCGATTGAATTCGATCCCATTCAATCTGGATCGTTGTGGTTTAGTCTAGGTTGATTCAAAATCCGRTTCGATCTTGATCTTACAGACCCACAACAAGACCGCCACCGGGCAGCACGACGGAAGACAAAAATAATTAACAAGAACAACTCAGTTCGAATCACCAGACAACCATGACGGAAACATTCCAGCGCTACGATGACGAATTCCAGAGCCTAACGCGGCAGATCAAGGCGGCCTTCAACGCGAACAGCGGAGGCTACCGAGACGAGGAAGCCGGCGAAACGGCGAATCCCGGCGAGGCCATCGAGCAGTGCGAGGAGCTCCTGCARCAAATGGCCCTGGAGGCCCGGAGCGTCCCCGATGCCTCCCGGAAGCGSGAGCTGCTGGTCCAGGTCCGCAACTACAAGAGCGACCTGCAGACGCTCAAGGACGAGGACAACAAGCGATCGCTGATGGCCTCTGCCCGGGGCAACGGCGCCGGCAGCGGCAGCGACGAGCACCGGGAACGGATGCGCAAGCAGCAGGAAATGCTGCAGAACCAGAACAGCCAGCTGGACTCGGCCCGGCGGGTCCTGCAGGAGACCGAGCAGGTGGCCCTGGAGATCGGCGAGGAGCTCTCGAACAACCGGGCGACGATCGAATCGGCCCACGGGCGGGTCCGATCGGTGGCGTCGATGGCGGGGAGGGCGAGGCGCGTCGTGGCGTCTATGAACCAGAGGGCCGCGCAGCAAAAAATGCTCCTCTACGGGCTGGCCGTGGGCGTGGTCATCCTGTTCTTCGTGTCGGTCCGGTTTCTGAAGTAGATGCTACGCAACGCAACACAACACAATACAACACGCAATGCAATGCAACACACAACGACACGCCGGCAATGATTATGCTTGCAAACTGCCGTGMATCCTATTTTATTTTCTACCCAAGAAAATCGACACTAGAATAACAACCTTGAAATAGAAAGTCGGCATCATTTCGAATCTTATACGTTCTATCGAAACGCACCCAAAAAAATCACAGCAATGTATCGCCCCGATGGATCAAAAATGATTCATTCGATGTTTAGATGAAATGCCGGCGAGGGGATTCTTCTCAATCGATACCGATGGAGTCGTGTAGCGCTTCGGTTTTTTCTTTTTTCACGTTTCGCTCCCTCTGCTCCGTTTCGTATTGTGCGGCTTCCTACCGCTCCCAACCGCAGAATCTATGGCGGTGCTCGAAGCACAAACCGGGTGCCCCCGCGCTTCGCGGCCGGAGCCCACAGGCTCCCGGCGGCGGACACGARCCACGCCCTAGAGCGCCGCAGGAGCACTCCCGGAACGTCGGGATGTTGCCGGGCGAGCGCGAGTGTTGCGCAGAGGCTCCACAGCGAGAGCAGAGCCACAAAGAGGGTCGACCGTGGCCTGTGCCTCAGGCGGTACCAGGCGASTTTCCAGAACGGCATGCGGGCCTGGAGGTCCCGGACCTCACGGTCAAGCTCCAGCAGCTTGGCGGAGGGTTCCGCCATGGCCGACTCCAGGTCMCTGAGGAAGAATTCCAGCGAGAGGCCGACGATCTGGGAGAGAAGTTTCTTTCGGTCTTCCSTCGGCAGTGGGAGGTTCCGAACCACGGGCTGGTCCTCAAGGCTCCGAACGAGGTCCCGACCGATCCTSGACCGGGCTTCCTCTAGCCCACCGGGCCGGAGCGCCCGCTTCAGGTCCCTCGGAGCGATGCTAGCAAAGGCGGTCGCCAGCCCGTCCGTGCACRCCGATAGAACCTCCGCCGGAATCCATGGGAACTGCCGGCCCACGTCCCGGGTCCACTCCTTCCTCCGTCGCTTGTCTCCCAGGACCAGAGCGGCCTCGGCGCCGGCCTCGAGCACGCTTGTCTTCTTTCGGGACSCGKTAAATTGCGCCAGAAAGCCGGTCCCATCGYCGCCGCCCCCAAACGCAGAAYCAAACAGGGACCGCAGCATCGRCGGCAGCGGTGGTTCCTGTCGTGACGAGGAAGAACGATTCTTGCCCCGTCCGAAGAGCCTCGTCGCAGGAGAACCCAAACGCCGACGGGATCCTTCTGTGCTAGAAGCACAACCGTTCGCAGGAACGATACGGTAGGYTTGCGTGTCATGTACCATCGGCAACAAACACCAGTGCTGGTGGTTTCTTCCCCGGGGCACGAGTCCCGCTGGAACGAAACCGGAGCTCGAGCAAACGAGCAGACTCTTTATTGCTAACAGAAACGATGTCCATCGCCGCAATGCCCGTTGCGATGATCCCATCCGAAACGACGGATTTACGAGAACAAGGGATTGGATCGGAGATCAGATGATGGTCACGACGGTTCCTCGTCGGTGTATTGTGTTTTCAAGGATCCAGGGGAATCCTATGCGTGCGTGTTTGAGCGTGAATTGGCAACTATTCGTAGATCGATCGAAACTCCGTTCGGCTGGTGTGCTGGCATCGACCGACGGGCAAACGGTTTCATTTGCTGCCTCCTTAYAACACCTTGTCTCTCTGATGACGCGTGGGATCTACTTTGGAAGAGGAATGAGGCTTCCCGGCTGGTACTGAATCAACAAAGGTCCCGTTGTCACCTCCCGTGTGCATCATCGTCGCTACCAGAACATGCTCTACACTGTCGTATCGTGCTACGGAACCTTTTGGTACGGTACCGTACGAACTCGTAGGTCGTTATTTTTGGAATTTAAAATTAATTTAAAATAAAAATTTTACTCGTGTTTTCGATTCCGAGTGAGTCAAAGTAGTCGAATGGACACGGATCTAGAATTGGCTCGGTGCACTGCACTGCACTTCACTAACTTTAGTGTGCGGTAGACAGTAACTTTGAAGAATTCTTACAGCCCTGGACTTACGGAGGAAACAAAAAGAAACTTGTTTTTAGTGTGGATTTGTACAAACCCTGGTATACCATTTCTTGCAGATAAATTACTAGTACCTTGACCAAAAATACTACTAGATTATTCATTTTTAACTTCTTAAACATTCACCAGTCATTATTGTGACAACAAGTCATTCTAGCAACAATAACCTAGGTTTTAAAACTCGTATTCCCCTCCCTGGCAGGAACAAGAAAACTTTCACCCGAGGGTTCTGCATATTGATTCGAAAAGTGTACCTGCAAGACCTCTTTCACAGGAACACTTTCGACGACTCTCCAACTTTCAAACTTACTACTATATATATTCAACATAGCCAAGAGTCAAGTGGTAGGAATATTTTTACTGGTGTTGCTAGTATCTGCGGTTCAAGATTTGGCTGACAAAGGGCTGGTGGTGACACACTCAGCTGCCAGAAAAAAATTGACAGTCCGTCATTCATCAGTTTACACTCAGTTTGCAATTTCATTGCAGAAGTAGCACCCTGGAATTTGTATTTGCAGGCAATACTAATTCTTTTGGGTGCCCTGAAGGATATCTGAGCCATCAACTCACTCAGAGCACAGTCAAAGCAAGCAAAATAGCTAAATGCCTCTGCAGTGTGAACTTGTTTCATCCTCTGCATACAAGCTAATTAGCAGGTACTCCTTCAAGCAATAAAGACATATACACACCTGCACACAAAAGAATCAAAAACAAGTTTGTTTAAAGATGGATTCTACTCAAGAAGAATTCTTATCATCCTCACCATCTAATCAAGCCAAGTCTCAGGGTTCTAGTAGTATTAGTACTAGTAAGGATTTTGTGACTCCAACAAAAGAATTCCCCAATCCAAGACAGCTTAGGTCTCTCCACCTTCTGAACAGCAGCAAACAGAAACAGGAACCAGAGGCATATAAAGATGTCCAATCAATCCACCAAGGATTGATTTTTGAATATGGAGAAGCAGAAACTATAGATGAGTTCAAATCTTGTGACTTTGTTCAAAGAGCTGCAAATGATAYAGCATTTGTGGCTAGAAGAAATGATCACTATCCAATTGCATTTGAACTTCAGGATGATGTAATTTTTCAACTCTGTACATCTTGTGCACGGGTTG